GCGGTGTCCAGGTGTCTCAGCTCCTCCGAGGGCTCCAGGACTCCCTGCCCAGGGTTTGCAGCAGAGCTGGTGGGGTGGGCGGAACCACCCCTGAGCTGGATCGGACCTCCAGGTCCAGCCCCCAGCCTGGGACTTTCCTCATCCGCTGAAGTTTATGGGTTTATGGAGCAGCACGAAGTGCAGGTTAGGGACCCAGATTCTGGAACCACAATTCTGGCGGTACCAGTACTCTTCTGCTGTGCAACTGACATGTGATCCTGCGTATGTTGCTTCGCGTCTCCAAGCCTCCGTGTTATCATCTGAGAAATGGGGATAACAATAGTAATTTTCTTTTAGAGTTGTTGTAAAGAGTACCCAAGCCCATGAATATAAAGTGGTCTGCACAGTGTGGGCCACGTGGTAATTGCTGAAAAGATGTTAGCTGTTATTAGCAGTGTTTTTACTATGGGTTAAGTGCTGGGCATAGATGGATGAATTTTATAGGGTGTCTGCCCTCCAGGAAGTGGCCATCTCAAATAGGGCAGAAGCAACAGCATTGCATGGTGTAACCGGGACAATCGGCCTGAAGGGAAGCTGCGCTTGGGGCTGAGCTAGGGGAGATGATGCCTGAGCGGGGGGTTCGAAAGATGAACAGAAGCCCTGGAGCGGGGTACAGACACGCATCCCCCATGAAAAGAAGGCTGTGCTGGGGTCTGGCCACGCCGAAGCCTCCCCTGGAAGGTCATGGGGCTGGCATAGCCAGGAACAGATTGGGAGAAGACAGACTTTCTTCTGTAGGTGACAGGGTTTATTTTTCCCCCCCGAATTTTATTTATTTGACAGAGAGAGACAGAGAGGGAGCACAACAGAAGGAGCAGTAGACAGAGGGCGAAGCAGGCTCCCTGCGGAGCAGGGAGCCCCATGCAGACTGGATCCCAGGACCCCGGGATCATGACCTGAGCCGAAGGCAGATGCTTAACCAACAGAGCCACCCAGGTGCCCCAGGGATGTTATTTAAATATAATATTTGTTGTAGTTTTTCCCCTTCCTCAGAAAGTAAAACCTCTTCACTGGGAAACGTGGCCAGCTTGGTCACTAAAGCATGTGACTCTCAATCTTGGGGTTGTGAGTTCAAACCCCACGTTAGGCCTAGAGCTTACTTAAAATCTTTTTAAAAATTTAAAAATGAAGAGGGTAGAAAATAGGGGCGCCTGGGTGGCTCAGTGGGTTAAAGCCTCTGCCTTTGGCTCAGGTCATGATCTCAGGGTCTTGGGATTGAGCCCAGCATCAGGCTCTCTGCTCAGCAGGGAGCCTGCTTCCCTCCACCCCACCACCCCACCCTGCCTCTCTGCCTACTTGTGCTCTCTGTCTGTCAAATAAATAAATAAAATCTTTAAAAAAAAAAAAAGGATAGAAAATAAAACATGTTCACATTGTTTAAAAGTTTGGAGACTTGGAAAAAGGCAGAAAGATGTCAAAACTCTCTGTATTCCTGTTCCCCAGAGGAAATCACCAGTAACATCTTGGTACGAATCCTTTATACCTCCTAACCTTTAAGATTTTTTACAAAATGAGAGCAAAGCATATTCAGTGAAGAGTTTTAAGGAGGGAGAGCTGTGGCCAGGATTGTGTCTGGAAGGATCCTTGCAGCTGCAGCTGGTGTAGAGGAGGACAACTGACCAATCTGAGAGACCTCCAGGGACGCCACAGCGACTGATGCCTGTGCTGACAAGGTGGTGGTGGGGGGTGGGGAATGGCTTGTTGGGGGAGGGCTGGTTGGGGAGAGCCGGGTGGGGTGGACAGGATGTGGGGATGATAAGGACAGCCTTCACCTTGCTCTTGTCAACTTGGAGACAGTGCTGTGATGAGCATTCCAGGGGAGAAGGCCGGGAGCCTGGGTTCCAATGAGTCAGCCTGTGCCTCGCACGCTGAGCATCTGCTTTGTGTGAGAGGGAGGGAGTAGCTGCTCTTTTTCCTCCCCGAGGCCCTATGGTAGAGGGGATGGTGCCAGAGGAGATGAGGAGAGCATTTTAGACGGAAGATGCGGAGCTGGCAGGACGCTGCCCCTGAGAGCGGCTCTGTCCCCGTGGGAGCCCTGCCAGCTCTGCCCCTTGCCCAGTTCCCCTGGGCTCCAGTGACTCTGGGCAACAGGCAGGACGGGTGGTTCTAATGGGCAGCCATTGCTGAGACCCATATGGCACAGGGGAGGGCTCGCAAGCCCGAGGATGCGGAGGGAGCCAGGCTGAGAGCCGTCTCTGGGTACAGAGCCCTCCCCACCCGGTAAACCAGATGTGCTCTTTCTTTGCCCAGAAATGCTGATCTCAGCCTAGGACCGACTTCCTTCTGGCCTGGCCCTCCCTCCAGAGCACTGGACCTGGGCTCTTCCGAATCCTTGTTTCTCAGGGGAAGATGTGATCGCTGGGTAGCAGAGCCAGGACAGAACCAGGCCTCCTGGTTCCTGACAAGACCCTTGTGCCTTTATGGGACCATTTGTCACAACTGCTGATAAGCTTGCTTGGGTGCCTAAGTGGATGCCACCGCATTGGAGGGCATGACTCACACTTGCCAACGAACTCCTTTTCAGCTTATAGATGGTGCCTGCCCATACCCGACCCCAGGAGCCCCTAAGTGTGGCCCTGGGCTCTGCCCCCATGCTGCCCGCAGGACCCCGTCACCCTTCTCCGAGGGCCACCTCAGACAGGTTCTCTTCTTACCCCACTGGTCTCTGCCCTCCCCAGGGCAGGGAGCGGGGAACTCTCCCTTTTCCACAGGCAGGGGCTCCTCATGAGGCCTCTCCCTGACTGTTTCCTGCTCCTCCACCCAGAGTCCTTGGTCTCGTCTTCTGCTATAATAGCTTTTATTAGGGGAGTGTTTTCTGGACCTGAGTCACCCTGAGGACAACACCTTTAAGCTCCAAGAAGTTTCAGGAGATAGGTGCTGAGTGCCCGAAGGTCAAGGTCTGTTGGTAAGGGGAGTGTGGGCACTGTGTGGCCCCAGGCCCTCTCTTTCCCTCATCTCCCTCTCTGGCTGGCTGTTCCCACTCCCCTGAGAGTGAGCTGCTTGGACATGTCGAGGCCAGGGGGTGGGGGGCAGGCATGGGCAAAGTGTAGGGTTAGGAGACAGAGAAAGAGGAGGTGGACAAGGAGATACACAGAAACACAGACGAAAGCAAGACAGAGAGAGCAGAGCAGGTGCCTCGAGCCCTTCATGGGGAGAGGTCTGCTGCTCTGTCTGACCTTCTCTGCCTCCCCAGCCCTGCCTCTTGCCTTCTCTCTCTGTGTGGAAGAGACAAGAAGGCCAAGCCTGAGGGAGGGCCTTGGCGCCCAAGTGTGAAAACTGGGGGCTGCTCACAGAAGTGGGCCTAGTTAACCTCATTTCTGGATAAAACCCATCTGGCATTGGGCGAGCTGCCTTGAAATGTCCTTGTTTCCTACGCACACCCAGTGTGCACGGTTCCTCACCACGTGGGCCTGTGTACACGTGCTCACAGACGGGACTTGTACCGCTGCACGCATGCGTGCTCTAGGATGTGTGCCCGTGGGCGGGTGTGTGTGCACTCAGGGCTCTCAGGAAAGCACATGCAGGTACAGCCGTGGCCATGGCATGATCTGCCCGGGTACGATGCCCACGGCCTGCTTGGCCTTGGCCCTTTCTCGGCCTTTGCCCAGGAGGCCGTGTTGACAAAGGCCCTTGTCCCTGCCTGTTCCTCTGATGCTTGTCAACTTCCAGGGGAGCCCTGGGCTTTCAGAGCGCTGCTGGACATCCTCCCTTATGCTTGTGGCTGTGCCCATGTGGGAGCCCTCTGCTGCAGGAGCCCTGGGCCCTCTTCTCCAAGCCGGACGGGTGCTGGCCCCTTGCCACCCCCACCCCACAGTGTGGCCTCTGCCTCCCATCCCATGCTCGTTGGATGGGTGCGACTCAGGATGAAGGGCGCGGCTGCACGTGGCTCCTTGTGGCCCTTGACCCCCGGCTTCCAGAGTCCCATGCAGGGGAGGCCAGCTGCTGGGTCCTTGGCGCGTCCAGGCTGCAGTCCCAAGAAGCCGTCTCCCGGCCCGCCTGACGCATCTTCCACCTGGAGAGCCCTGGGAGCTCTACGCTGGTTGTTGGCAGCCGCCTCTGCCCCATGAGGGCTAGTGGGGAAACCAGAGGGAGCAAGGCTGGGTGTGAGATGCTCTGCCTCCGGCCACAGTATGGTGGTGGGCCCTGGGGAGGTCCCTGTGGCCAGAGCAGGGTGAGGAGCTGTCTCCAGACACCTCAGGTCTTGGAGACTGTGTGCTGGAGCCAGAAGAGAGGTCTGTACTAGGCGTCAGGAAACCCGGGTTCTGAGATGCTGGGACCCGGGATGGGTCACCTCTTGTCTCTGACCCGTCTGGCCTGTCCCGCACCAACAGGGGGCTGGGCCAGATGATCTCAGAGGGCTTTCTCAGGATCCTCTGAATGTGAGGATTTGCAGCCGGACCGTGGTAACTGAGGAAACCATCGACACTGGGAGGGACAGTGGTCCCCCTTTCTCTCAGGGCACCATCGAATCCCTACAGGAAAGTCAGACCTCAAGTGAAAAACTGTCCCTGTGCAGTGGAAGCGAGCCCCTGCCCCTCGCCCCACTTACAGGGGGAAGGACCCTGGCAGAGGGAGAGAGTGGCATTTCTGGGACCCTTAAGGCAAAGGTGTGACAATCACTGTTCCCTGGGTCCTTTAGACATCTGTCCTAATGGTCAGGCCAGGGCAATGGAGAGATGGGGCCTCACCTCCAGCGCTCCTAAAGCCAGCCCTGAGTGGGCCCAGGCCTTGAGCTCCCAGTAGTGAAGATACAGGAATCCTGTCCTCCAGTGGGAGGCCATCGAGCTTAGAGAACCTGAGCAATCAAAGAGAATTGCCCAGTGCCTCTGGTCACATCATGAGGCCTACAGAGTGCTGGGACCACATGGGCTGAGGCTGAGCATCCCACTAAAATCCCCATCTCTCCTTCTCTCCTCCTGCTCCATTTCCCATGGCCTGTTCCACTGCGTCCTGATCCCCAGGAGGTGGAGGTGAGTACTTCCTGGGGCGGGGCGGGGGGGGTCCATTGTGTATGGTCTCTGTGCAACCCCACACCCCACCCTCCTCTCCTCTCTCTCTGCCCTCTCCCTGACTTCTTCCCTGCAGCACCCAGCATGGGATGGAGGAGTAAGGAACACATGGGAGAGGCTGGAAGGGATTCTGGATAAGAGCTTAGGGGGATAGAGTTCTGGGGGAGGCAGCTGGCAAAGCCCAGGGGACCAGGGATCATCTGAGCAGCCATTGGGGTGATGGCGGTTAGCATGTTAGCCCTGGAGTTGAGCCTTGGCTCTAGGATGTGAACCTTAGCCCTTCCCTTCTTTCTTGCCCCTCTGTCCTTTCTTAGGATGACTACATCAAGAGCTGGGAGGACAATCAGCAAGGAGATGAAGGTAACGTGTCCCTCCCAGGGGAGACAATAGGACTGACACCCGTGAGCACTTGAGACCCACCAAGGGCACATGCCAGCCATGGCCTTGGGGGCTTTGTGGGAGCCAGACCCTAATGGGAGTGGGGCTTTTTTGCTGAGGAGCTCTGGCCCTCAGGCCTACTACAGAGAGGAACTCACAGGTGGGGGCTGGGGGTTCCTGGGCTTGTTGGCACTGATTTCCGGGTGACCTGTGTCCTGGCAGCCCTGGACACCACCAAGGACCCCTGCCAGAAGGTGAAGTGCAGCCGTCACAAGGTGTGCATCGCCCAGGGCTACCAGCGGGCCATGTGCATCAGCCGCAAGAAGCTGGAGCATAGGTGAGGGGCCTGGGGAGTTCGGGGGAGATTCTGGGGGTGTTGCTTAAACATTGAGGGCTTGCCTGATCGTCTCCTCTGTGGCAGCTATCTATTGCAAAACAACCTGCCCCCAAACCTTGTGCTTAAGGCAACAAATGTATTATCTCCCACAGTTTCCGAGGGTCAGGAATATAGAAGTGGTTCTGTTGGATGATTCTGGCTAGGGTTTGCCACGAGGTTACAGTCAAGGTGCTGAGTGGGGCCGCATCATCTGAAAGCTGGATTGGGGCTGGAGGATCCACTTCCAAGCCCACTCACGTAGCTGTTGGTTCTGGTCACAGAGATCTCTCTCCATAGGGAGGCTTGAGTGTCCTTACAACATGGGAGCTGACCTCCCCTCGGTGAGGCAGCCAAAGGAGAGAGAGAACAAGGAGGAAGCCACAGTGTCACTTATGATCTAGTCTCAGAAATCATACGTTGTTACTTCTGCCCCTTCTCTTTGTTAGGAGCGAGTCTCTAGGGGAAGGAAAGTACACTCCATCTTTCGAAGGGAGGAGTGTCAAAGAATCTGTAGACATGTTCTAAGACCCCCACACTCTAGGAGATCTGTCACCAAGCGGTGTGGGACTCAGGGAAATGCATCTCTCCTCTCTGGGACTTGGTGTCCATATCCATAAGACAAATAGGTTGGCCCAGATAGTCTGAGATTGTTTCTGGCTCCGACATGTCACAACTTAATAAAATATTTAAGGTTCTAGCTTCTGAGGCTTGCAGAGGAGGGAAAGGTATTAGCTCCATCCCAAGGACAAGACCTGCCAGCATCCAACATCTCTGGGCAAAGGTCCCATCTCCCTCCCCTCTCTCTAGGAATCCATGTTTCCATGTGAACTCTTCCATTTTGTAAATGTTGGTGAATGACTCAAAGACAAACACCTTTGGCGGCCAAACAAAATGAGTCTCCAGGCCAGATGTGGCCCATGGGCTGTCAGTTTGCAACCTCTGATTTGGTGTGACCCTTTATGCGAGGTGCAACTCCTTTTTAAATCTGGCAGTCAGACCTGGAGTTGCTGCCTGAAGGCCCTGGTGGGCTCAGTAACCACAGGAAAGGGCGAGCTACCGAGCTACCTGTTCCTCACCCTGCCTAGCTGGGCCATGCGCCCTTAGGGGCCGGAGGAGGGTCTGGCTGGGGCTGGTGGGGAGGGTGGGCAGAGGTAGGGAGGAGGCTGCAGGTGCTGTGATCACTGGGGCCAGCTTCCTCTTGGAATCAGTCTCTTGAACCTTCTTCCCTTTGGGTGTCCCTCTCTCATTTTTGCGCCACTCCATGCCCTCCCCATCTCTGTCCTATAGGATCAAGCAGCCTGCCCTGAAGCTCTCTGGAAACAAAGATACCGTCTGCAAGCCCTGTCACATGGCCCCGCTGGCCTCAGTCTGCGGCTCCGATGGCCACACTTACAGCTCGGTGGTGAGGAGTTCTGGCCCCAGGTGGGGGGCGGGCAAGGCTGGCAGGGGACTGGCTTGACACCCGAAGCCACGGGGAGCAGAGAGGACAATGCAACCAGGGTCCCCTGGGGTCTCCCAATGCTGACCCAGGGCCTGGTGTCCTCAGTCAGTGCATGTGGTGTGGCCGGCCAGAAGGGACACCTGAGCCCCAGGCTTGGGCTCCATAAGAGTAGGAGCCAGACCCGGCTTCTGGCCTGACGTGGGTGCAGGTGTGCAGGGAACTGGGAGTCAGAGTAAGTGAGGTAAGATCCTCAAGAAAGTACCTAGGGCTCTGGAAGGCAGGAGCCGTGTCACCCAGTTGTCGGGGGTGGGGGGTGATGGCTGGAGCTTTCTGCAGGGAGATTTCCACCCCGAGGGGATGGTGTTCACCAGCCAGCACCAGGCATTTTGGTGCAGGAGAAAATAACCCTCCAGGAGACAGCCATGTGAGAGGGAATGGTGGCTGTGGGGAGTGAAGCCTTATCGGATAGGATTCTTAAGAAGGTTAAAGGAGACATTTGTGAAAGCATTTTATAAACTCCAAAGGACCACAGAAATGCAGGTGCTAATTGTGAAGACTTCTGCTAGCGACCAGGAGTTGGGAGTTGCTTGGTTTTTGGAGGACACTGTCTGCTGGGGTTGGGTTCTAGGGCTTAGGGACACTTTTGGGGCGACATGCAGATTGATGAGTCACAGAGTCACAGGCTTGGGGAAGGGGTGAGGTCACTGGAAGAGGAGAGAGACTGTGCCAGAGGCTGAGGGCAGAAGCTGTACTGGGGAGGCAGGAGGGAGAGGGAGGGGGAGAAAAGTGCTGTCACACAGCCCAGGGCGGAGTGAGATCTGGGCAGGAAGCTGTGTTCTGGGGGTCACGGAGCTGTTCTGTGGGGACGTAGGGCTCCTCAGGAGATCTGGCTTCTATCCCAGGCCTGTGGCCTTGGGCAAGTCACCGGGCCTCTCTGAGTTTCCGTGTTCTCTGCCGAGCAGCCAGGAGCCAAGGGAGATACTATGAAACAGTACGACCCCTTCTCATTTGCTGTCATCCCATGGGGATGAACCATACGAGACCAGGAAAAACACTCAAAGGGTGGGGAGTGGGTGAGACCCTCTCCCAGGCTGCCTTCAGCAAATAGCTGTGGCTGAGGGTTTTCAGTAAAGGCAGGGGAATGAGCCCATGTGAGCAGAGAGCCAGTGGCTGTTATCCAGAGAGCTGGGTGAGGCCCATCGGAGTTTACTGTGAAAAGACCACTGAGGGAGGGGCTGGCCGCCAGTTCCCTGGGGGCCGAGGGACTGTGGTAAGAAGGAGGTTGGGCCAGAGGGCCAGGACTGGGGTGGGGGGCAATGGGCAGCTAAATGGGCAGACCAGGGTTCGTGGGAGCCCCTGAATCCCTGGGAACCCCTTTCCAGCTCTGCTGTCCCCCCTCAATGCTATGTACCTTTGGCACACCCAGGGGGACCAGGAGGGCTAGCCCCCCAGGCTGTTGGTGGCTGCTGTCCCTCCTGTCAGATGTGGCTGCCTGGTGGGCTCGAAGTACCCCAGTTCCCCATCTGTGAGCACCCCCCAGTCACACAACCCGACCTTTCTTCTCATGCAGTGCAAGCTGGAGCAGCAGGCCTGCCTGAGCAGCAAGCAGCTGACTGTGCGATGCGAGGGCCCCTGCCCCTGCCCCACAGAGCAGGCCTCCCCCTCCACCACCGACGGCAAGCCAGGTAATGCGGAGCCCTGGGCTCCAGCTGGGTCGGGGGAGGCCTCCCTGCCAGCATCTCCTGGGGCACCTCCTTCAGGGCTCTGGGGTGCTGAGAGAGGTTCACAGAGCCAGAAGGGAGATGGAAAAACGGGGACAAGCCTGAGGACCTGTGGGGTTGGAGGGGATGCACCTCAGGTATAGGGGGTACACCATGTGTGGTCTGAGGGCTAGGGACTGAGGGGGCAGGAAGATGGGAGACAGTGGGTGGGGACTTTAATTTCTCACTCCCCTTGCCTCTTGACCACTGCCTGGCGTCTGGCCTGTGGGACGGCATCCCAAGCTGAGGCCATGCTGTGCTTCGACCTACCTTCACCCGCGCCCCTTTTTCCCCATTCTTCCGACTGTAGAGACCTGCACAGGTCAAGACCTGGCTGACCTGGGGGACCGGCTGCGGGACTGGTTCCAGCTCCTTCATGAGAACGCCAAGCAAAATGGCTCGGCCGGCAGTGGGGCCAACCTGGCTGGTGGTACAGAAGCTACTTGCTCTGCCTGGGATGGGGGAGGGCGATGGGGAAACAGGAGTGCCCTGGGTCAGCCTGCCTGGTGTTCCCTCCTGCCAGACTCTCAGCCTCGAAAAGGGTATAAACCCAGAACAAGGAGAAGGAGGCTTCAACTAGACAGGAGGGGTTTGGGTTAGCTATTGGAAGAACTTCTAGAAGTGGGTGGAAGGAGCTTAAAGCCTAAAATGGGTAGCCAAGAGAAGGCAAGAAATTATCTTCCCCGAAGGGCTTTCCAAACAGGGTTTTGAATAGCTTAAGTGTAGTCCTGTGTGGAGGCAGATGGACCGCCTTTCAGCGGTTCTTGAGTTTCTCACTCCCATGGTTATGTTCTGAGCTGCCCTGACCCTGACCCTGAACAGATGGAGAGGTGGAGGGATGGGTGGACAGATGGATGGAGTGGTTTACCTTGAGCACGCCTAAACCTGGCCTTCTCCCCAGGGCTGGACAAGAGCCTGGGGGCCAGCTGCAAGGACTCCATTGGCTGGATGTTCTCCAAGCTGGATACCAGTGCTGACCTCTTCCTGGACCAGACAGAGTTGGCCGCCATCAACCTGGACAAGTACGAGGTCTGCATCCGCCCTTTCTTCAATTCCTGCGATACCTACAAGGATGGCCGGGTCTCCACTGCTGAGTGGTGCTTCTGCTTCTGGAGGGAGAGTGAGTATAGCCCCCAGCTGGTCCCCCACCCCTCACTGCACTCCCCCTCACCAGCCCCGCCCCTCCCCGGCACCCCCCCCACCCCCGCCCCCAGCCCACCTGCTTCCTGCCCGCTCCAGCACCTCATCTGTTGGAGCCCGGGGAAGCCAGCACTTTAAATCCGTTCCTTGGCAAGCACCTCAGCGATCCAGATTTGTGGGTTCTGAAGCATATGCATGTTGGGAAAGTAAAAACTACAAATGTAAAATTTCTAGGGCCCCTTGGGGCCTTGTAGAGGGTTCCTGGGCTCTACGGCTGAAGCTATACTGGCTTCTCGATGATTCCTCTTCTGGGCACGTCTCACATTATTTACCCCAAATCTGTGCTCGTCAACCTTAGAGATAGGACATCGTTTGCTAGCTTTCTATATCCTGAACCAGAGCTGGGCGTGTGCTCAGAGATCACCTCAGCCAGGTGGCCACTGTCATCAGTGGGGAAGCTGAAGTCCCTGGGGGGCAGCTGACAGGTCCGCCCCGAGGTAGGGGAGGTCCTGGTGGCTCCACGTCCAGCGTCCTGCCTGGTTCCCACCGCTGGCGTGTGTTGGAGGCACTATGGTGTTCGCGGCCTAGGCCCAGCCTTCCACTGGGGCTCCACTGTATCGGGCTGGTTTGGGACCCTGGGCAAGGCACTGACTCTTCAAGTTTGGTTTCTTCATCCTGCTGTGAGGGTGACCAGAGAAAATCTGGGCGCAGAGCGTGGGTCAGTCACAAATCCATCTGCCAGCATGTGGCATCTTGGTCAGTTTTAGGGACCCCGCCTGCCCCGCCTTCTGGCACTTTCACCATCCAGGCCTCTGAAGCTCATTCTGTCCATTCTGTACAGCAGCCTCCTTGGGCAGGAGGCTGGGGGCTGACCTCATTTTACCATCAGCCAGGCCTCTTGCTGGGAAGGGCTAGGGACTTTTCAAGGTGACAAGCGATTAGACTTGGCTGCAACTACATCTGGGTGGCTGCTTTTTTAAATTTTTTTTTTAAGTAGGCTACATGCCCAACATGGAGCCCAACATGGGCCTTGAACTCATGACCCTGAGATCAAGCCCTGAGCTGAGACCAAGAGTTGGGCGCTTAACCAACTGAGCCACCCAGGCGCCCCTAGTTTTGAGCTTCTTTCTAACCTTCCCTCTGGTCTCATGTTTCCCCTTGGGCCTCTCTCTTGGGGAATCCACTCCGCCTCTTCTTCTGGATCCTGCATTCTTATCCCATGAGTTCCCAACATTCTCAGGGACCCTGGGCTTCTCAGGGCACCTCAGCCCCTGCCACAGCCATGGAATGGCCTCCCCCGGTTGGAGCTTTTTTTTTTTTTTTCCTCCTCTAATCTCGCAGAGCCCCATGTCAGTTTTTGGGAACTTGGAGGGATCCATGCTCCCCACTACCACCATGGGGCTTCCCCAAGTCAAAGCCTGGGTATTTGTGTCTTGCAAAGCCTACTGCTAGGTTGCCAAGGCTTGGGGACCCCTCTGTGAGTCTTACCAGCACCACGGGATGGCCCCCGTCAGAGGCTGCTTCTCTCCACACAGAGCCTCCCTGCCTGGCGGAGCTGGAGCGCATCCAGATCCAAGAGGCTTCCAAGAAGAAGCCAGGTGAGGGGGCTGGCTGGACTGGGCTGGGCTTGGAGGAGGCAGGGGAGGGGTGCCCCAGGGTCTGCCGGAGGCCCAGAGGCTCCAGTCTCTGGGCCTTACGGGAGAGCTGAGCCCAGAGAAATCCCTGTCCTAGGAAAACAGGAAGGAGAACTCCCCTCCTGTTCTTATCCTCGTGGTGGGACAGGGTCTCCGAAGTAGCCCCTCCATTGGGGGAAATGGGAAATGGGAGGATGGGAAAACAGAAGGTTCCTAGAACCCTCCATTCAACTCACTCCGGCAGGGGTGGCGGTGGGGGGGTGCATGCAAAACTCAGGCGAGCCCCCTCCATAGCAGATGCTCACATCTGCAAGCAAATACCCGGTGCCAACCCCAGAGGGAACAGTAGACACGGCCCAGGTCAGGGCAAGACAGACTTGGTCCCTGGTCTCAGAAGGCACACAGGCTACTTGGGAAAACACAACACATGGGTTGACACACCAAAAAGCCAGAACTAACACATGATGGCTTGTGTAGGTATAGCGCTGAGGGAGAGCACCGTGGGTAGAAGGTAGCCTGCACATCTGCGAAGGCCTCTTGGGGGAGCTGGTGTTCCAAGAGAGACCTGAGAGATGAGGATGAGCCCGCCCAGGGCAGGAGAAAGCTGGAGGCTCTTGGCAAACAGAAAGAAAGGGCCCATGTGGCTGGATCATGGTGGCTGAGGGGACAGAGGGCCAAGAGGCAGAGAGCAGCCTCTTGCTGGGCCCACAAGACCAGCGTGCATGGGACCCAATGCTGGAACCACCCTACAAAGCCTTGTTGACCAGAGTCCAGGGGCCTTCGGGGATGGGCAGCAGTGCTCCTCAGGAAGCCACACTTTTCCACCCTGGAAGCCGTCCTCTCGGGTCTGTGTTCCCTGGGCACATTCCCTGGACCTCAGGGCGCCCGTTCGGTAGTGCCTGGAATAGTCGTTTCAATGTGTGTCACCCGCCTCCCCGAAGGGGCAGAGCCTCTGTCTGGGTCGGCGTGCTCAGGAGTCTATTGGGTGGACACAGGGGTCATAGTTCCCATGTCTGAGGGAGCGCAGGTGGGCCCTGAGGCCAAGAGGAGAAGCCTGGGCATTGCTGACCGAGGACAGCCAGGTCCGAGGAGCGGCGGCAGGAGCCAGGGCTTTGAGCACAGTGCAATCAGGGAGGCAGGTTTTTCCAGCTCAGGCCGGTCGAGGCAGAAGAAATGCTACCATGCCGCCCTGGGCATCTGGGCTGCCTGCGCTCCGGTGGGGTCTGGACCCTTGCTCATGGCCCAGGCTCCGGGGACACATCTCTGAAGGGCTCACACCCCAGCGCCTGCTCTGACCCGGTGGGTCCTGCCATGTTCAGGAATCTTCATCCCGAGCTGTGACGAGGACGGCTACTACCGGAAGACACAGTGTGAGCAGAGCAGCGGTGACTGCTGGTGTGTGGACCAGCTGGGCCTGGAGCTGACGGGCACTCGCACGCATGGCAGCCCCGACTGCGGTAAGGGCCAGGCGGCAGCACGGGCACCATCCCGGTACCCCATGACCTGCCCTGGGAGGGCTTCTGGGGGGCCTGGCTTGTGGTGGATCCTGCTGGCAGTGATTCGAGGAGGCCAGTGGGGTCCTAACCGGCCCCTCGGCTTGTTCCCCTCGCAGATGACATCGTGGGCTTTTCAGGGGACTTTGGGAGTGGCGTCGGCTGGGAGGACGAGGAGGAGAAGGAGACAGAGGAAGCAGGAGAGGAGGCTGAGGAGGAGGAGGGCGAGGCGGGCGAGGCGGACGACGGAGGCTACATCTGGTAGATGGCCCTCAGGGAGCCATGGCAGGCCAGGGTGCCAATGGCCGGGGGAGACGGGCCAGCAGAGACCTGGACAGAAGCAGGCAGCTTACGCATGGATCCGGAAGATACGTTGGAAGGACGCTGGCTCCAGCAGGGACGACTGGGTGTGTGACTGTGCATGGCCCATGTGAGACCTGTATGGCTAGGACGTGTGAGTGTGTGTGAGTGTGGCATGCGCTGACAAATGTGTCCTTGGTCCACACTGCTCCAAAGACCTCCGTGTTTGCTTTACATTTAGTGTTGGTTTCAAAGTACACATATCCACACATATCCACCCACCACAAGGTCAAAACTGATGACATGAATGCCCCCTGCCATGTCCCCCAAGCCCCCTCTGGTCCTGTCCTGACACCCTTGAGTTGCCCTGACCAGGGCTTCTTGTCTTGATTGCTATTCTTGACTCAACCAGCGCTGCTTCCTCCTGCACTTGCCTGCCCTCTCCCACCCTTGGGTGTCTCCATTGCAGAGAGTTGGAAAGGCAGGGAGCTGCCTGCTGGCTGAGGTCCTCCTGGGGCCAGGCCAGTGTGGCTGGGACACCCCCACCGGCTTCTGATGACGTGGGCTGGGACACCCACAGCAGTGAGCCCTTTCCCTGCGCCGGACTCCCCAGCACTAGACTCCCAGCCCTAAACTCTGCTCTCCTAACCCAAGCCTGTGTGAGCGAGTGTGGCCGAAGCTGAGGTGCTGGGGGAGGGGCCGGAGCAGAGGGAGGAGGAAGGAAGGGTCTGCCTTTGCCTATCTGGCAGGAGCTCTCAGGAGCGGAGACTGGGTAGCCCTGAGTGCCAGACCCTTGAACAGCCTGGCCCCTTCCTGTGGGCCTCAGATGGGGGCCTGGTCTGAACTATTCTCTTGGAGGCCGCGGGTGGGTTCCGCCTGGCCGTGTGGGGTTGCTGCACTGCCCTTGTCCCCAGGTCCACTTTGGAAGCCTGAGGATCGGGCTGCAGGTGAAGAAGCTGGGTGTCAGCCGGGGTGGGGTGGGGGGCGGTGTATGTGCAACCACCTCTTCTCCCATCCAGACCTTCCTTAAGATGTGGGGAAGCAGCAGCGGGGGAAAGCTCCACTTCCCGTGACCTTTCTCCATCTCTCCTCCAGGGGGCAGCACCAGGCCCATTTCCGTCCCCTCCCCTGCCAGCGCCGGGACCTTCTCTCTGACCCAGTGGAGGGTGCCCCGAGGCTGCTCTAGTGGAGGGGCCCGGGAGTTGTGAGGTCAGAGGGGACAGGACAGGACTGGGGCCAAACATCCTGTTCTCCCAGATGTCCTTACCAGGCGGGAGCCAGGGTGAATGAGACCGAGCTCCCTGTTTTGAGTTTCTTTTTGTTTTCTTTCCTAATCTGTCCCATTCTCCCTGTTGAAGCAAATTCCTTAACACTTTGGGCAAAGAATTTCTAACCTGGACCTGGGCCTCTGTTGTCCTTCTGTGCGTGGCGAGTGCCGTGTGTGTTTGTGTGTGAGTCTGTGAGCGGCTGTATATGTTTGAATGTGTGTGAGAGCCTGGGGTGTGAGGAGGGGTGGGGGGAGGGGGGCCCGGGGCAAGTGTCCCCAGACAGGGTTCCAGCAGTCGTCCCTTCCTGGCTTCGGCAGCATCCGCTGAGCCTGCTGGACCTTATGGAAGAAGCTCACCCCGTCTGCCTCTTTGCACCCCGGAGTCAACATCTTCCCAGTCCTGTGCTGGGGAAAATATTGAAACCGCAGCTAGCCCCATGAGCCGCTTCTCATCCCGCAGCACAACAGCACAGGGTAGGGCGTCGCGCTGTCCCAGACCCCCCAACAACCCGTCTCCTGGCCGCCCACCCTTCTCTGCCCTCCCACCTCCTCCCTCTGGCCCTGGCTCAGTTCAGGGAACTGCCCTTTGCTCTCTGAGCAGCCGCGATGCTTCCCGCTCTCACTAGGAATGGAGTCTGTCTGTCTCTTCTCTCTGCCCCAGCCGAGGCTTCGGACCTGTCGCTGGGAGCGGCTGTTGAGGAGGCTGGGGTGTTCCAGGGTGGGGAGAGAGCTAGAGGAAGGGGCACCCCTCTCTCACTGTTGCCCTCCCCTACTGGGGGCACAAGCTCTCTCTGTGTCTCTGGGTCTTCTGGTTGTGCACGTTTCTTATGACCTTGTAAATATGTTGTAGAAAGAAAGCAAAAGGCGCTGAATTCGACCCTGGTGGGATTCATGGGTCCAGCCTCGTCCTGTCTCTGAAGCCCCCACCCTGCTTTTCACCCCACTCTCTGAGACTGAGCCCCCTGCCCCCAGAGCTAGACAAAGCAACTTGTTCCCAGGGGGCTGACAGCCTCCAACTGACTTCTTGTCAGACAAGCTGCAGGCTTTCTCGTGAGCAAGTCGCAGGGTGGGCCTTCCTCGGCTCCGCGGATTCATGCCCTTGACCAAGCTGCCTGCCACCCATCTCCTCCCATGTCCTTCTGTGTGGATATCCTGTCTCCCCTGGTTTAGGCAGGCAGTGGAATTAGAGCTCTGTTGAAAAGAGCTCAGCCAAACTTGAAGAGCGGTTTCTTGCCGGGCCCCGGAGCTGTCCTTGGCCGCCGGAGGCCTCCTCGCCCACGGGGGCTGGGAGAGATGGGTGTGTCTAGGACGGGGAAGCTGGAGTTGGAGAAAACAAATGTGCCTTGAGAGACCACTCAGAGGTTCAGGGTGATGGGGAAGGAGGCAGGGCATTGGAGCTCAGGAAGGAGGAAAAGGAAGGCGAAGTTGATGAGGGCATCGTGGGACATCATGACGGTCCCTTATTGTTCCCTTGGTGCTGTGACCGCAGGTGCTCAGCGGTCACACTTCCTTCCCCACGCCAGCCCACCTGGCGTTAATGGCCACCCCTGCGCCTTTCATGAGCTCTGTCTGCTTCCAACTTCACCTCTGAGTGCGTGGGGTCCCTTGGGACCCCCATGGGAACCCTCCATTTCACCAAAGCCTCACCTCAGCCCTTGGGGAGGACGAATGGCTTAGTCTGGCATGTCACGATGACACCCGGCGCTGTCATTGTGAGGCTGTGGGCAGGCGGGGGTCAAAGGGAAGAGACACCGGGGGTACAAAAGGAGACTCGAGACATCCCGGGGAAGTCGCAAGCAGAGCAAACTGCTCTACAGCCTGAAGCCTACTTAAATAGTGTGATGTGCAATAACTGAGCTTAGAGTTAAGAATTGTGTTCAAGTGCTTGGATTTCCGTCTGTATATTTCAGTGCTGAAATCGTATCTTTCAGTAATTTTAGATGTCCTTAAAAAATCGAAAAACAAAGTGTTAGACCGTGTATGTGCATTGATGGGCACTCAAGCGTCCCGTGAGTCACCCCACCCTGTCCCTTTCCCCTGTGCCCCTAAGCCCCTCACCCCCAGGCCCCCTTCCCCTTGGGGACCCCGCCTCGTGTTGTCTTTATCTGCCTATTACTCAGCCTAAGGAAACAAGTACACTCCACACATGCATAAAGGAAATCAAATGTTATTTTTAAGAAAACAGAAAATAAAAACTTTATAAACACCACCCTCTGGCGATGTTCTGATTACATTTCCCCTCAGTGTCATTTTTCACAAAAGTGACATTCCCAGATGTGCTCCCAGCTAGAGAGATGTGGTCGGCAGGCTCCCCTTATGCACCTTCACATATGAGACCCCAGACAGGGTGGGGCTGGGAGGGGGGCCTGATCTGAGGGGAGAACCGGGAGCAACTTAGTAGGATTTTTGGTGTCATTGCAAATCTACGTGCAATCTATATTTGTACATATGCCAGTAAACACGTCTACACCACAGAGCAGAGATCAAGCTCTATGTCCTGTTTTTTCCATTTAACTTACTATGTACCTTTCCCCACATTATTAAAATCATTGGAAGAGATGACTTTAATAGCTGCATAGCATTCCATGATATGGATGTATTTAGTGAATTTAATAATTTCCCAATTTTTGGACATTTAGACTGTTCTCAATTTCTTAGCACTCTCAACTCTAGCCCTAGAACTAGCTAACCATGACCTTCCGCAAGTCATCTGGCGGATGGAGAGAAGAACTCACCTCACAAAGATCCCTTTTTATAACCTGTGGAAGTGATTTCTGAACAGTGAAAGCCCTGAGTGATGTCAAGTTCACTCCCCTCCCCCTTTGCCGGCTCACAGCCAGGGCAGGCTCTGCCCGTCCGGCTAGAACAGATCCTCAGAAAAGGGATGCCTACCTTCTGGGGTTGGTTTTCTGCTCCTCCGTGTTTCTCCAGCCACCTCCAGGGGCCTACTTGGAGGCTCAGGAGTCCTGGAAGGCCATGTGAGGAAGGCCATGTCTTGTCAAGGGGCTGGCTGCTCCCAGCATTCGGAATGAGAATGTGGATGGAGACAGGGACAGAGGTCTCTGGGAACTGGGTCTCATGCTGAGCTTGTGGGAACCTGTAGTTTTAGAAATAGAGGACTCATGGGCTGGGTGAGGGCTGGAGGTTGGAATCGATCCTTGGGAATGTCTTCTATCAGCCTGTCAGGGAGGTACTGTTGTTAATGCCCATTTTACAGATGAGGAAGCTAGATCTCAGAGAGTTTCGGGAGCAACCAAGGATGTACAGCTAGTGGGGGCAGAGCTGGGGTTCCTCTTGCTCCCTGCCATCTGACACAAAGCAGGCTGCCTCCAGTGTCCAGTGACTGCTCCTCACGTGGCTCAAAGGTGGTCAGAAAAGAAGAGTCACCTGCACGGGGTAAGTTCGGGAAGACTTCCTGGAGGAATGGGCCTTCAGCTTGGCCCTCTATGTGGGTAGAAGTGGACCAGGGGCTTACTCCTGGCTGCACTTCAGAATCATCTGGGGGAAGTCTAGGTTCCTCGGCCCCGCCTACAAAGATTCTGGCTTCATTGTTCTGAGCTGAGGCACGGACGTCAGTATATTTTAGAAGGGTCCCAGGTGACGCCAATGTGTAGCCAGATGGCTGAGCAGACAGAAGCACGTCCCTTGGTGAGGACAGGACGTACAGGCGGCCAGGGCAGAAAAAAACCTGTGAGGAGCCAGGACAGGGCCCCCTTCTCTGAGTGGTGGCAGCGTGAGGCCTGTGGGCCGGTCAAGGCCAGAAGGGCTTGCCTGTTTTATGGATTTTATTTGACATCTTGTGAAGCCCCAAACCACGTTCAGTGGGGTACCTGCTTGGTGCTGGCTCAGTGGGGTACCTGCTGAGGGTGCTCCTGTCCATCCCGTGGGAACCCTCCCAGTGAGTCTCTTCAGCCTGCAGGGAAACACAGGTGTTTGCACCCCGTGATCACATCTGTTCAGGCAATGGGGCCACAGAGGCCAGGCCAGGCCCTAGTTCCTGACATCGGTCGTCACCATGACCCAGTAACCTGGTTTCCTAGGGCAGGTGGGTCAGATGGTACTGCCGGGGACAGGCCCCAGTGCCGATGGCCATTCGGGAAGCCCCCGCTGCCTCCTGCTCCTCCTGGATGGGGTCTGTCCCACCCTCTCCCTCCATTGTGGGCACCGCCTCATTCTGGCCCCTGTTTTTCCTTCACGTTTAGCCTCCTGGGGACAGGGACTGTGTATTTACTGCTCTCTGGTGCATAACCAGGGCCTGAGAACAAATCTAATAGAGGAAAGACAAACGGCACACGAACCCATATAGCCACTAAGGGGCAGATCCAGCTTACCCCATCCCTCCCCCACCCCTGCCACCTGCCTCCTGGGTCCCGGGGCCAGTGGCTGGTCTCACTCCTTTGTGGGGCCTCAGAGACCAAGCACAAATGAGCGAACAAACACAGACAATTAAAACAAAACAAAACAAAAAAACAACTAAGTTTAAAGAGCAATTTTGAAAAATTTTCTTTTTGAGCCAAACAGATGAGGGAGAGGAGAAAAGCAGGCATGTTTCTGTTCCCACCGGTGTGCTTTTTCTGTCGTGTCTAATCCTGCCTGCAACTCTTTGAGGCAGATGTTACAAACCCAGCCTCATTTTACTCGGGAGACAGCTATGCCCCAGGGGGCCAACCTCGGTGCATGCCACAATGTCACCCCAGGCCTGGCTGAGCATCAAGGTCAGCCCCCCCATTCCACTGCTGTGCACCTGGCAATACCCCACAGGGAGATAATGAGTTCTGCAGGGAGCCCTGCGTCTTCCAAGACAAGTCCTGGGTGAATATGGGTGTCAGCTTGAGTGTCAGGGAAGAAGTCCAGAAGGATGCTTGGTTGTTGCCTGGCTCTGCCTCCAAGCACCTTCCTTTGAGCCTCAGTTTCCCCATCTGTAAGATGACTTGGTCGCCCAGTTTCATGATTCTGCGGAAGAATGCAAAGGTATGAATCCGGAAATCAGTTTCTGTAAAGTTCAGGGTTATCCTTCTCTCTCTGGAACATTCCACAGTTGATCTAATTAACCTCAAGGGCTCACACATTTGCAAAGCAGAATTAACTATGCCTTAAAAAGAAAGCTGGAGATGGAATATAAGTAACAGCAGCCGTCTTTTTGGAGGCTCAAATGACTGTTTCTCTTGGTGATATTTGGGGGTGCCTGATGTCCAGGCAGGAGGATGCTGCTTGGAATTTTTGGAGGCC